CTCTCTCTCTCATTCAATCGTTCCCAATACCGTGTTTAATGTACTATTAAACGCAACCATTGTGTCCCATTGGGTCCATCGCGTTCACAAATTTACTTCCTTGCGTTGTTCTCATCCCTTGTCCTCGTAAAGGGCTATCATCCATCGTCCGTCCGTTTGCTCGATATTTTCCCTTTCATCGAACTACCATGGTGGTGGAGGTGGAGGAGGAGGAGGAGGAGGAAGAGACATAGAATTTTCTCGGCACGTGCCGTTACCTATTTTACCAAGCAAAAAGAAATTCGAAAGTAAATGCTATTTCTTTCCCGTTTATTTGTATCCGTTCTCTTTCCTTCGTACTTTTTTTCCTTTTTCTTTTTTTTTTTGCATTCCTTTTCCTTTTCTTTCCCTAACCACCCGCCCCCGCCCCGTCACCATCCCCCCTCGCAACAGCCCCTGCTTTTTTTTCTTCTTCTTCTACTTCTTCGATCATCGAATATCGCGTGGCTGACTTTTATTAGTCGATAGGGTGTGCCAAAAGAAAGAAAAAAGAAAAAAACAAAACCCTACGCATCTTGTATCGAAGGATAGAAAGAGATAGGTATATCGTATTTTTGGGTTTGTCACATTCATATGCTAACAACAATAAGAAGACGTTTTTCCATTGGTATAAGATTTTTTTTGATGAAAATTTATCTCGACATGTCCTCGAGGATATAGTGGGACATACTTTTTCTAACATCGAGTAGAGAAGTTACGGTTAAATCTTTATTCAACGTATTATATTTATTCGATCGTATTTGTAAATTTCTTGGCTACGTTCTTTGAATAATAATCATCATCGAGAGAAAGAAAACCCTTGTAGAAGTATATTTACGTTGTTACATAATACAATACATTCTTCTCCACTTCTATTTATCATTCGAAGAAATAAAATGATATATATAACGTAAAAGATAAAAAAAGAAATTATAATAAATATTATATTATTTGTATATAGTTTATTAACCTTTTTTTTTGAAGTTATACTTCTTTTAGCGCATTTGGGAAAACATGATGAGAGTGAATTCATACGATGCGCGCGCACCGATCAAAAAATTGACAGTCTGAAGTTTGTCGACATTTACGATGCGCGCGCACCGACCAAAAAATTCACAGGATGAAGTTTGCCGGTATTTACGATGCGCGGGAAAAACAATTTGAAATGAATTGCATAAAGTAAGTCGATATAACTTCCTTACATTTAGTGTGGACTGATATCTATATTCTGATATTTCTATATACACAACACGTGTTTTATATCGATACAAATAAAAATGATTTATGTGTTTTGAGGTTATGTAATTATTACATACAATGGTGAGATTGATATTAAATAACTGTAAATATCTTCAAAGACATTGATTATTTGTGAATGTAAGTAATAAAAGTCTTTTTTGAGGTTAATTTTAGGTATGTATTACTATTCATAAGTTTTTTGAGGTTAACTAAAGTATGTATTATTATTTATTAGTTTGTATTAACTTACGATCTAACGTTTATGAAATATAAAAAGAAAAAGAAAAAGGTAATTTACGGAAGTTCAAACGACTTTTTACGTTTCGTCACGCCTCAGGATTTTAGACACGCGCACAAAATTTAGAATAATAGAATTGGATGTATAAGCTTTACTATGACGATTTTGGAAGAGTATACCACTCTTAACGTAGAGATCGTTACTGCCCAGTTTCCTGCGATATCCCCAACATTATATGACTCCGTTCCTGCGGGCAGGATTTGATATAGGGAATTCACAATGGTTCCACAATGACTGGGCCAACGTTACGAATTAGGCTCGGTTACGCGTTTATTGCCGATTCCGGTCCAGGCCAAGGCAGAGGCGTCCTATCGAAATTTACGCGATAGTTTGTCCCCCTTTATCCTGAATTAACGTGAATTACGTATACTATAGTTAGAACGACGACGCCAATGCGGAGATGCGAAGTATTAGCATTGGTTAGCTTTATGGGGCGTTCAGTTCCGCAGTTTCATCTCTCTTTCTCTCATCTATCCTTCCTCGTTTATCCGTTCTTCTATCTATCTATCTATATATGTATCTTCTATCTACCTATTTAATCTATTTATCTACCTATTTATACATATATATATATATATATCTTCATCTTCATCTTCGTCCCTTTTCCATCTCTTTTACTCTTTGATATATAGCAACCAAGAGAGATCAATAAAGTCTGCCTGTCGGGAAAAATAATGCCAAATTGACTGTCCGTTTTTCTTTAGATAACAAATAAATGTTCGGAAAAAGGAGTAAAACGGAACGATCGACTATCGTTTCTGATTCTAGAGAGACCAGGAAGTTGAACGTTTGAATTTTGTGATACCTTCCACGAATATATATTACCTCGTTTAAAAAGTATCTATTGGAAAACAAGTTTTCGTTTATTTGTAATCTAGATTATCTTTTTTCAAACTGATAAAGTTTTCTATTACCAACGATTTCTTATATATATATATCCTATCTGTTATTTTCATGTATTTTCTTTTCTTTCATGGTCACTGGCATCTGATGACTGACGGCGTCTCTTTAACCGTACGACAACATGAGAGGGTTGAAATTAGGACACTATAATTATTAATCAATTTCACATTAATTGTTTTCTAGGCGTCTCGGGTTAAGTGGGATGTTGTGTTCTGGCTTCTGGCAAGCTCCTGGCAAGCGTAACCAGCTAAAGTGTCATACAAGAAGATTAATTACGTCGCAGTACCTTTTATGTATGTCACACCACCGACAGCCATTTTCTTTGATCGTTGCACGTATGTTCATACGTGTGATGACGAAGACGACGAAATCGTCAAGGAAAAACACAATGACGAGAAACGAACGTGTTAAGAATATGAAAAAGGTGTAGTTTCGGAACGTAATTTTCATTGTTGTCACCAATCTTCTTCTTCTTTTTCTTTTTCTTTTTCTTACAATTTACACGATACAATTAATAAAAAAGTTAATTGATTTCAATTAGAGGTAATCTCGAGTATAGGTAAATATTGTGAACAAAATAAATCAACGAATTTGGTTTTCTTTCTTTTTTCTTATAATTGGAATCATATTTCTATTGAATATTTTTTAACTCTATTCGAATAATTAATTATTCTATATGGTGTGTTTGTGATAAAATTATTTTGATACATTTTTCTTAATAAATTTCGTGCAATATTTAATTAATCTATACAATAACATCTAATAATGACATATATATATGTAAAACACGAAGTAAAATGATAGATCGAGTAAAAATCATTAAATGAGTATTTTATTTTTTTTATTGATATAACAAAAGTTCGATTCAAAGCATCTTATGCGAATAATAAGATCATTTCTGTTCGCTCAGATCACATTCTCCTCGTTATTTTATTGATTTTAATCGTTAAATGTATCAAAACGTTTATTCGCTCATGATTTTAATTCACACACACAGAGTCACACGCATTACACACGCATTACTACGAAACAATCGCATTACACACTAATTCCCATACAATTGTATACGCAACTGCAGAAAGTATTGACTAAAATATTAAATTTGAAAATAATCATAATACCGTATTTATTAATTACATATTACACACGCATATATATATATAATAATTATAATTAAAATATAAATATATATCTAATAATTAAT